CGGAGGAGGTGCGGGGAGGGTTTAAATAGGGTTGGAAGGGGGAGAGAGCGGTCGGAGGGGAAGGAAACCGGCGCGGCGCTCTCGGGCTCCATCAATGGCGCCGGCGGGATTAGGGGAGGGTTTCCAAACGAATCCAAGGGAGAGAGGGAGGGAAAATTGGGGGGAAAGGGAGAGGGGATCACGGGGAGTGATTCCCCCCACTTTATTGCACGCGGGGACGACGGGAGGCGGCGGGATTCGCGGCGGCGGCGGCACTAGGGCGCGGGGGAGGCGGCGGGAGCGGCGGGAGGAAGGGGATGACGGGTGGGCCCCACCCGTCAGCGAGGGTGGCGGGCGGGCCCGCACGTCAGCGGCGCGCGCGCGGGGAGGGAGGCCGAATGGGTCGCGGGGGAGAGGAGAGAGAGATGGGGAGGGAGATGGGCCGAATTCGGCCCATTAGAAAGAATGAGGGATTTTAGGGTTTTTCTTTTTATAAAATCATTTTAACTTTGTTTATTTCTTAATAATTATTATTTGTGCTCTGAAAATTCCACTAAAATTTATTTACACATTTTAGGCTTTTAGGAAATATACAAAAATCATCTAAGCCTTATTTGACTTTTAACTTTGCACATTTTAATTGTTGGAGGCTTTCACACGGATTTTAATTATTCTAGGCATAATTTAGAGGATATATTTTAGGGTCGTTTTGGGACGTGACAGTTACATTGGCCCTAGGATCTTTACTTGTTCCACAAGATGAGCAATGAGATGCACCATGATATCAAAAAATGAGAGAAGGAACAACATGTCAAGATGGCAAAGAGTGAGAATCACGTCCTCCTGAACCTTGTCCAATGAAGCTGGATCGATAACCTTTTGGTTAATCGCTTTGAAGAACTGGCACAACTTGATGATTGGGTCTCCGACCTTATTTGGAAGGATACCTCTGATTACTACCGGTAGCAGTTGCGTCGTAAGCACATGGCAGTCATTTGACTTCATTCTAACCAACCTCTTATTTTTTATGTTAACCAATTTCTTAATGTTCGCACAGTAATCAGATGAGACTTTGACACCCTACAGACATTCCAACATACTCGTTTTTTCTGCACCACTAAGAGTGTAGCATGCTGGAGGGAGGTAGTAGCGGCCATTTCCTTTATCCTGAGGATGCAGCTCTTTCATGATATTCATATCTTGAAGATCTCCCTGTGCTTGCAAGGTGTCCTTCATCTTGCCCGGTGTGTTCAACAATATCCCGAGCATGCTTTCGCACACATTCTTCTCCACGTGCATCACATCAATCGCATGATGAATATTTAAGTTTTCCCAATATGGCAGGTCCCAAAAAACATACTTCTTTTTCCAAAGAGGGGTCTCACTGCTTTGATGTGGATCCACTTGTGCTTCCACTCCCTTTACCAGATACAACTTTGAGATCCTTCACCTCTGCCAAGACGTCACTGCCGGTTGTGAACTTTAGATGTGCTTCCTCTTCCCCCCTGCCAACGAAAGCTCAGTATAGGTAATCCTGCTTGAGGAACCTTCTATGGTGCAGGTACACGGTCTTCTGGCAGTGTTCAGCCACTTGCCTCCTATTTTAGCGATGCACCTAACACATGCTTTCATGCCCTTCACCGTCTGGCCCGACGTGTTTCCAAGTGTTGGGTAGTCTTGTATTGTCCCCAACAGAATCGCCCGACATGTGAAGTATTGTCGTCCATAGTGTCACAAATCCTCTACCAGCGGCTTGAAGTACACATTGATATCTTTGCTAGGTTGTTTAGGATCTTAAATAAGAAGTGGCATCATGATGTACTTACGCTTCAAACAGAGCCAGGAAGGGAAGTTGTAAATAATAACAACCATTGGCCATGCGCAACGACGACTGCTCATGTTACCAAAAGGGTTCGTGCCGTCTATGCTGAGCGCAATCCTCACATTCCTGATGTCATATGAAAATTTACCTCTGTACTTCCTGTCTATCTTTCTCCATTGAGACCCATCCGCTGGGTGTCGTATCATTCCATCTGTTTTACAGTCTTCGTGGTGCCAACGCATCAGCTTGCCATGTTTCCTGTTGGCGTACATACGTTCCAAACGAGGAATGACTGGAAAATACTATACAACCTTCATCGGCACTCTTTTCTTCTTCGTTGTACCATTGCTTCTACAATCATCATCCCCGTATCCATATTTTATATCGAGAAGCCTTGCATACCGGACATTGATCAAGATCTGCAAAATCACCCCGGTAAAGAATGCAATCATTTCGACAAGCGTGAATTTTTTGTATCTCAAGACCAAGGGGACATATAACTTTTTTCGCTTGGTATGTTGTTTCAGGCAAGACATTGTCCGTAGGAAGAATTTCTTTCAGTAGCTCTAGCAACTCAGTGAAGCTCTTATCGGACCATCCATTGCTTGTCTTCATGTGAAGTAGAGATAGGACCACCTGGAGCTTGGTGTGCTCCGCCTTACATCCATTGTAAAGTGGAGTTTTTGAGTCCTCCACCATGGTTTTGAACTTGCGATATTCCCTATCATCAATGTCAGCCCTCTCCCTGCCGCGCAACATCTGATCTAGCTCAGCTTCACCGTGATCGACAAATGTTTGGTCCTCCTGTTCACAGCCGACATCCTCATTTGGCGCGTCAAAGTAGCCTGCACTTCCCTCGCCTTGCTCCTCTATGCCATGGAAGTTGTCCATAAAACCTCTTGTGAGAAGATGTGCATGACCTCGTTGCACCGGAAGTTGCAATCAAAGCATGGACACCATAGATAATCCGACACATCAACTGAGTTTGTGCTCGTCGCCACGGCAACCAGGGTCGTTACTCCCCTGATATACTCGATAGAGTCATGATCCACTGTACTTATCCATCCTAGATCCATTACAAATGCAGATGGGTACCTACGAATATTACTTAATGTCAATTAGTCTGGATCATACAAAGAAAAGATAAGCAACATCTACGGCACCAAAGATACAGCTTGAGATGGGTCAAGGTGGCTCCGACAGCAGCGACACTTGGTGACCGCGGGGGAGCTCAAGGTGTCTCTAGCTTAGTAAGATGATAAAAGAAGAGGAGGAAAAAGAAAAGGAAGAAAAGGAAAAAAAATTCCATGTCATTGTACACGTGGCGTGCCGTGTAGGCAAGACCACAGTTAAACGAGGCTTTAGACCGGGATGATACAATAAACTAAGTTTAGGGATCTCGATGTGCGCTTTACAAGTTCGTGTACCTAAGTGAAACCTCATGACAAGTTTAAGGACCGCTGGTGCATTTTACTCTAATATAAAACAAAGAGAATAATAATTTATCATTTATTACAAACCGCGCAGAAAAAAAAAGATGATTTCATAATGTACATGCACATTGGAATAAATACAATAAGGAATGACCATTTTACCCCTAAGATAAAATTGAGAATTTTTGGCACAAACCTATGCCACATTAAATATTTCTACTTTTTATCAATGCGAAAAAATATCGAATATATCATGCCATGACTACACATTTAATTTCCATAGTGGTAAAATTAATATGGCATAGATGGAAGAAAACATTAATTCAAATTTAGCATGGCATATGATAAATCTAAACATAAAAAGAATTTTCCCTAAAACACACTTAATTGTTTTGTAGCACATGGTAATACAAATCAACAAGCAAGATTGAATCGGGTGACAAATAATGAATATTTACCTTCTAGACTTCAATCTTCAACCAAAACCAAAAAAAAAAAGAACAAAGCCGCTGCTCTCCTCTAGCTGATCGGGCAAGAATGAGAGGCGCCGCTCTTTTCTGGCTCGATCACCTCAAGTGGGATGGGTGGTTATATGCACTCGGCTAATAGGTTCCGGTTGGGGAGCAAAAACCGGCACCAATGTCTGCTAAAGACAGGTGCCGTTTTTCCATGTGGGCCCTGCCAACGGCTAGTTATTTTAAAGGTGCCGGTTTCGAATGAGAACCGGCATCTATTTCTTTTGTCCATAAAGATGCCGGTTATAGAGTGGGCCCCGTAGTTGGGATGGGAACTAAAAAGATGCCGGTTTTAGTTCTATATCTGACAAGGGTAACAGGTGCCGGTTTTGTTTAAAAACCGTCACCTTTTAGGTGATAAAGGTGACGGTTCTTTTGGTTTTGGCAGGCTGGTGGGGGGGGGTGAGAGCGGGCGTGTGGGTGGGAAAGCGACTATAGATGGCTGTTTTACCACTTCCGCCGTCTATGATACCGACTTATATTAGCATTTCTGTGGTAGTGCACGAAAAATCAATTCAACAACCTAGAACCAATTTATATATTGTAGTTGATCAGATTGAGATAGCAGATCGATAAAATACAGGAAACTGTGATCCAAACCCTAGATAAATTATATATATTCTTCCACCCATGTTGAGCAAACACGATCAGAAGAAATGATTCCAATAGGAACCAAGATACGTACCAATGAAAACTCATGATCACGCACGTATACTGACCTCGGTGACAGCGGCGGCATCGATGGCAACCGAACAGAATAACCAGTTCTCCTAAATCAAGTCATGCTTGCATGCTGTGATCAATTAATAGTTGACCAGCCGCTAGTTGCCGGCGGTTCTCCCTAGCCGCTGACGCGTAGCTGCATCATCGGCCGCTGCAACGACATCGCACAAGTAGAATCGTGTCAATGGAGAAGACGTGCCAAGCGTATTTGGAACAAACTCTGTGTTGGACCAGCTCTCTTCTGATTGACTTCTTCCAATTACTCACTCCTGCACGTCGGGTAAATTACAGCTAAATATAAAATTGGAGGGTTGGGATCTTCTATTTTTCTTGGTTAACCAACGTGGAAATTTCTAATGAGGAAAAGAAAGCCAAAAAAAAAAAACCTGCATGTACCCGGCGTTTAACAATTTTCGCATGCAGTGACAAAAGGCAAGCAGCCCTTGCAAAGATTCCCATTAGCAAAGTCGCCTGCAGCCAACAATTCACAAACGAACCTCTGCTGTTAGCCGCCTCTTTCTCCACCTAATTAATCCACGGTCATGACTAGGTCATCATCAGCACCTGAACAACAATAATTAATTATTACAAAGAATCATGCTGGTGTGCCTGGAGGAGGCCGGCGTCGAGTACGAGGTCGTCCCGTTGAGCTTGACCAACGGCGACCACCGCCGGCCGGAGCACCTCGCCCGGAACGTACGTACGCATTGTCGTCATTAATTCTCTGTTCCTGCCAACTTGATCATAACTGCTTTCCTCTTGATGTTTTCTCCCTGAAGAAATTAAGAAAAATGCAGTTGAATGGTTAACTGACATGTCAATTCTGCAGCCATTCGGTCAGATTCCAGTGCTGGAGGACGGTGACCTGACACTCTACCGTAAGCAACCAATTGTGTTTTTCTTTATTTGTACGACTAAATTTTGCGATAACGAATGAAGTAAATCATCTCCGTTTTTTTTTCATCAGAATCACACGCGATCGCTAGGTACGTTCTCGGCAAGCACAAGCCGGAGCTCCTGGGGCTCGGCGAAGGCGGCAGCGTGGAGGAGTCGGCAATGGTGGACATGTGGCTGGAGGTGGAGACCCACCAGTACGAGGCCGCCGTGAAGCCCATCGTGTGGCACTGCCTCGTCCACCAGCACGTCGGCCTGGTGCGCGACCAGGGCGTCGTGGACGAGAGCGTGGAGAAGCTGAGGGCGGTGCTGGAGGTGTACGAGGCGAGGCTGTCGTCGTCGTCGGCCGGCAGGTACAGCTACCTCGCCGGCGGCGGCAGCGGCGACCGCGTCAGCCTCGCCGACCTCAGCCACGTCCCGCTGATGCACTACTTCACAGCGACGGAGTACGGCGGCGTGCTGGGCGAGTACCCGCGCGTGAAGGCGTGGTGGGAGGCGCTGCTGGCGCGGCCGTCGGTGAAGAAGGTGATCGCCGGCATGCCCACCGATTTCGGGTTCGGAAGTGGGAACTTGCCATAGTGCATTAGTTGGCCTGATCGTCTGCCACACTAGCTACATGCTTAATTATGCAAAAGTAATTTTTATTTATTCTTTAATTCCAATAAAATGGAGTATATATCTCCGTGAGAAACGCATGTACTCTACTACCTCCATCGAGTCATTGGAAGAATTGTAATGTTTCTATCATAGTTGCTTTGGTTTATTTGGTTATATCATCTTTAAACATCCAAAACCTTTGTATGTTCCAAAAGATGAAACTACGGTCACAACTAATAGTGTTCGACTACAGATGTTATACTCCAACCAGTCCTATAAATTTTTCTAGTTGATGCTACAACGGTCTCCGGAATATAATGCAGCATTGAGCCACTGACCACTGATTTTTTTTACTCCCTCCGTTTCACAATATAAGTCATTCTAGCATTTTCCACATTTATATTAATGGTAATGAATCTAGACATATATCTACATCAATATGAATGTGAGAAATGCTAGAATGGCTTATATTGTGAAACGGAGAAAGTACAATGTATTTATATATTTGGACAGTTGTTACAGTATATTTGTGGAAACCAATGATGTTGTAGTTTTCCCGAACAAGCTATCACTTCATCTAACAAATCTAAATAATTAAGAAGGTATAGAACTTTAATGTTTAGATCCAATATTTTACATTCAGTACATCTCCAGCAACTGTAAAATGTTTTTGATTGTTATTTTATGATGAATAATTGGTATATGAGATTATCGGTTTTGCTATTTGGAGATTATTAGTGAAGTGGTTTTGGAGACGATTGTTTTTAGATGGTGAACAAGGACTGTCAGATTTGAACCGGTGAGACCGGGTTGTCGCGGTATGTGTGTAGTCCGACCGGCCAGCCCGTGGTCTGACCGGCTGGCTCTGTATAGGTTTCGGTTTCTGGTTGTTTCTTTAGATGAATATACTATGCGTATGTAATACTGTTTATGGCTTCTAGATGAATACTATACGTATATAATACTGTTGTGTGCTAACAATGAATCAAGTTGGAGAGACCTTATGCTCGGATATAGTTTCTTGGTTGATGCATGTGTAGGTGAGTCTTGATGCCTCGAGAGAGTGTTGCTGATGATTGATCTGGAGTCAACTTGGGAGAACATGACGTCCAGACGATCAGGATATCATGCGGGTGGTATATGCACGTGGTTGGTGAAGATTCCATATAGCATACAATGGATATATTTTGTGTGTCTGGGATGCGGAGTCGAATTTGGAAGAAGGCCAAATTTGTTACAATTGGATTTTGTAAAGTTTGTTTCTTGTACGGGAAATATTTCCTAGGGGATTACGACTTCTTATACAAAGTTGGTTCGTGGCTTTATACTGGCTACCTTGGGTATATACAAAGCGGGAGGTGTGGCCTCTCGGTATCGATTTTTGGAAAATGTTGAGTTTAGAGAAAAGTTAGGGTTTCGAGTTTATTCAAGATTTTTGTGAAGAGTATTGTTGTGGCACTTTGTAAACACGAATAGAAGCAATAAAGTTTCAATATACTTTAAGAGATCTTAAATTTGTGTTTGCTCGAATGTGGTGGTCTAACCGGTGGGACACTGGCTGTTAGACCGATGGCATCGCACCGGTCAAACCCTCGGCTACACGGCTGTAGGCAACTTTGACACATCGGGAGGTTAGACCAGAGCGACTACACCAGTCAGACTAGAGGTCATTGAGTAGCCAAACTAACATCCATCGATTTGAGTTTGTTGCCGGAAGAGAGGATCGGGAGAGACAAGGGGAAAACGGGAAGGGCGTTGCGGCCGTCACACGTGGTATGGGAGGGCGCCGCCGCCGCTGTCGCTTGCGTGCTGCCGCCGCTCGGTCGTCACCGGGAGAGAGGATCGGGAGAGATAGGGTTAGGGTTAGGGTTTTCCCTGGTCCGCATCTTCAGCGGCGCGGAGGCGATCCAAGCTGTCCAACAGATAGGACGGCTCAGATTGCCTCCGCGTCAGGCCGCATCACTGGTAGGCCGCGCACCCTTGACGGGCCGAGGGCAAGGGCGGCGGGTCTAACACAACACAATAAGAGTAGTTGGAGGACATAAATTAGACTTTATTTTGTGGGCTGAGATAGTAAATGGACTGAAAAATAGCCCATAGAGAAATTGAGATTTTTATTTAAAATAATGCTAAAATAATGTTTGTATTATCAAAATTAGCAATTAAGCTCCAAAAATTAAAAAAAATCAAAGAGTGTTATTAATCGTGGTTAATTTAATAATAAAAAATTAAATCCAACCATATCATATTATTTCACCGCCCGTGGTGGGGAAATACACCGCCGCCATTGCTCATGGCGGGAGAGAAAGGGCATTGTATAAATAACTATAATCGTTATCATGATAACATTAGTTTTTTCGTTGCATTTTTCTAGTTGAGATAAAAGAAAGAGAATCGCGTAAAAGAATGAGAAATCTCCCGTTTCTCCCGTTGCCTTGCGCCGCCGCCAAGACGAGTGGCGGCTGAACAGGGGCGGCGATCTCCATCTGAGGCGAGGAGAGCAGAGCAGGGGAGGGGATCCTGGTTTCTGATTCATCTCTCTCTCCCACCCCACCGGGACCTGGAAGAAGCTCTTCTCCTCCTTAATTTGAGGAGAGAGAGCCTTAAACCTCTCTCTCTCTCTTAATACAAGTAGTAACAGTTTGTCCCAAGTTGGATCCTCTTCCTCATCCCCATCACCATCAGCCATGATCCAGGCCGTGATGGTCATGAGCACGCAGGGCAAGCCGCGCCTCCTCAAGTTCTACAGCTACCATGTTTCGATTCTACCCCCATTCACCATCCCCTCCAATCTTCGCCCACCCGACAAGTGCTGGCTCAATTTCCCCACCCAAGACCAATAGCAGCTTAGTTACGTGATTGATGGATGAAATGCTTTTGACCACTTTGCTCTCCTCTTCTATCTGTTCTCTGTTTCACGGATTGGTTATTGATGCAGGCCCCCGAGAAGCATCAGGAACTCGTCCGCGCCGTCTTCCAGTGTATGTATCGCACGCGGTCCGCTTTCCTGCTCTTCACCTTCCAGTGTATGTATCTGTGAAAAGCTCGTTTTGCAGTGTTGTCTGCAAGGCCGGACAGTGTAAGCAATTTCGTCAAGGTTGATGCAATCTTTGGACCGGTAATGAACCTCCAAGACTGATATAGTAAAAATCTTGCTAAAATATATGCACATGCTGGAACTGACATGGAAATTTTGTGAAATCTCCTTGCTCTAATGTCAGTTGATCTCTCTCTCTTTGTTATATACTAGATGATGCCCCGCGCTTTGCTGCGAGATATATGTTAGATAATGGTGAAATAATGAAAGATTTGGATTGAAATATTATGAAAATGATTTGAGAATGATGATTTAGCATGTGTATGTTTAGTTTTAGAATGAAATAAATTGTACATATAATTACTATATGCTTGCATGTTGAGCTTTGTGTGTTTAATGGATTGATGTTGCATGCTCGCATGTAGGTTTTAGTAGTGCTAATAAATAATATGTTTACATGTTGAGTTTTAGGTGTTTAGTGGACATTAACTTTGTATAAAGAAGAGATAACCTGCTACTGCCTTAGACTTTTTGTCAATATGTATGCAATTGCAAACACTTTCTGCAAAAAAAAAAAGTAAAGAAAAAAAAGCTGACGTCTATACAAGTTCATGTTTCCTCATGAAATTTGTTTTTCTTCTATGTCAGTCAAACTGTAGTGAGGAAACAAACAACTTTATTTAGCAATTTGTATATGATAGCATGATGATCAACTTCTTTTTTTTTTTTTTTTTTTTTGCAGGGAGCGAAATTGATCTACAAACATTTGGCCACATTGTACTTAGGTTTTGTCTTTGATGGCTCTGAAAATGAACTTGCGGTGCTTGATCTTGTGCAAGGTAATCTAGCACATTATTATTAATGAAACTGCTTATTAGTTAATGAAATTGTTGGACTCATGTGACATGCGAACAAGGCAACAGCCATACAGACATGGTTTACACTCGCATACCAAAAATAATTGTTATGTTCATGTTCGGTCATGCTACATGCTTGTTTAGTTGTTTGACCTGCCTTATTTTACATGTTCATTGTAATGTCTCTTATGCTTCTTTATATCAATTCCTCTTTTAGATTCAAACCCATAGGTGATGACTGTGGCACTTCTTTCAGTTTCAGTGTTCATACATTACTATTTACTAGTATTTACCATTCTCCCAATAATTGATGGTTTGCCACTCCTCAAATCCCAACCCCAAACATGCACTGTTTGTTCGTCCAATGCTGGGTAGCTGCTGAACTACTTAGCTCTTTTCACTTCTGTTAAGTTCACTTTAACTCTCAAGCATCTTTCCTATCCTTGAGAGAGTACCATGAGGTACCATGAAGTACGAGGTACCATGAGGTACCAATCTAATATAACCGTTAATTTAGAAGGGGTATGATTGGACTAAATAAAGTTAAGGTGCCGCAAATCACCGCCCACTCAACCAATAGCAATACCCTGTTCCCGTCTCCTACCTTCTACCTCATCTCTGGCCGCCGTCGCATCATGGCCGCCGCGGCCACGCGTCACACAAGCTTCAGCCTCTGTCGCATCGAGGCCGCCGCGGCTGTGCGTCGCACACGCGTCTGCCGCCGTCGTATCGAGGCCGCCACGGCCGCCGTCGCATCGAGGCCGCCGAGCAGCCGTCGCATCGACCCCGCCACGGCCGCCGTGGCTTCAACGCCGCCGCATAGACGTCGCCGCCTCCACCCGCCGCATCCGCCGTCGCAGGCGCATCAACATCGCCGCCTCCACCCCGTCCCATCCGCCGTCGTAGCCACCCCGAAGACTCCGGCATCTTTTCCACCATCTGGTGTGGACTCTGTCGTAATAAGAACTAAATTTGAAATGTGCTTCATCTGGATTTGTTATTTGTTGGTACATTTTATGGTTGAAGAAGTGATGAAGGTGGTAAATTATTTGGCAGGTTCACTGTGCCGTGTACAGTGGAAGGTGTTGGTAGCAGAACAAATATGCTGTATGATGTTGTTTGTCTAAGTTTGAGCTGAATTTACGTTGTATGCCGTATGCATAAGTTGTTTCAACCATTGTTGTTTGTATCTTGTACAACTTTCATAAAGTAAGTACTTGAATCTTGTTGGTCTAAGTTTGATCTCTGCTCAAGAAGCAGCAGTGCCAGCAATTTTCAGTTTTCAGCATCAAAAAGCAGTACCAAGCAGCAAATTTAAATTTGTAGCAGTAATTCCAGCAAGAGGAGCAATAAGTTCAGGCAAACTGCAATTGTGACACAGTCAATTCAGCAGCATATATGTGTATTTCATCTCAGCAACACCAACTTCAGTTCCGCAGACAGCATCCACCAGTAACAAATAATCAGCAAGCATGCACCAGTAATAAATCTCGCAAGAAGCATCCATACAAAATGCACACAAACAGGGGCATCAATTATGCAAACCATACCACTAGAATTGACTGATAGACATATTACATCGGAACTTCAGTGAATAGAAACACACAAACATCAGCTTGCTCGAAAAGATTGGCTCCAACCAAAGCATTCCATCCAGTTGTGAGGGTTGCTCGCTTATCCTTGAATTTCATCAGTTTCATCGGCATCCAACCATCGCCGGCCTCCCGCCGATGCAGCGCCGCCGTCGCATCGAGGCCGTTGCCCTCCGACCCTGACGAATCGCCACTGCCACCGATGCAGCACAGCCGTCGCATCCAGACAGCCATGCCCGCCGTCGCCGACGAATCGCCGCCGCCGCCAATGCAGCGTAGCCGTCGCATCCAGACTGCCACGCCCGCCGCCGTTGACGATTCGCCGGGGCTACCCGATCTAGGCCACCATCGGGTCGCCAGTCCAACCTGCTCCCTCCGCCATCTATCGCCGCCATGCATTCTAGGGTTTCTTTCTCTCGCTGCTCTAGCCTGTCGAATACGCGGCTTCTGTTCTCTCGCCAAACAGAGAAGGAAACAGAGAAAGAAGGAAGGGATGCTGCGTGCGTGATGCGGAATAGACGCGAAAGTACATAACTACCCTCCCACCCACGGTACCGCTTCAAGGCAGAGGTGCGGTACCATGAGGTACAGATGATTTTTGACCGTCCGATGAGGCCTGATCAACTGTCACGATTTGGTACTGCACAGCCTCAAGGACAGTAAAAATGCTCTTAACTCTCCATTTTATCAGCCATGATTGCGGCAGATCAATTAATCTGTAGAAACTTTATCTTGTGCACAGTTTTTGTTGAAACATTGGACAGATGCTTCAAGAATGTGTGTGAGCTTCACATTGTATTTAACTTCAACAAGGTAAAGCGATTTTCATGTTTTGATCCTTTTACTTTGAATATGCTCCATTGAGGCTTGGCTTGAAGAATATAAAAGGGTCAAGTAAATAAAGCATGCTTGGTCCTTTACAAGAGAGGACCAATATTGTTTTGTTAGTAGATTAGTTTGTTTTGTTAGTACACGAATGGTGAAAAAAAGTAACACTGGAAATTTTTACGGAGAGAGAGAGAGCTAGGGCCTAAGCCCACCTTTGGTAATGCTGCCCTCAATCGTCAATACCAAAATGTTGGCTATGGTGTTGCTGCCATCTGTCGCAGGCAGATTCTTTTTTGTTGAGACAAACGTTACAACAATTCATCCCAACTGTCTTTGCTCGTGTCATGGTGATGATTGTTACTGCTTAAAGTTAATCACTATTCTTATTAGGCTAATTGCAATATCAAATGCAGCTGCATACAATTTTGGATGAAATGATACTTGGGGGACAAGTGATTGAAACAAGTTCAGAGCAAATAATGAGATCTGTAGAAGAGATTGCAAGGTTCTTACTTCCTGCTGCCTTCCCCTTGCACATGTTGCGAGCATGTTTACATGTAATCCTAACAGTATTCGTTTCTTGACACAGGCTGGAGAAACAGTCAAACACAACCAGCCTCATACCGAAGTCGATTTCAGAGCGTTTCAGCCGATGAGCCGTGTCATGGACAGAAACTTTGAAGGCTTGAGCAGAAGAAATCAGATTGCATTTTTCTCCAGTCGCGTTGCAATTCTCTCAAGTCTCGAGCATCTACCATTTGACATGGACATGAGAGCTTGTAGCCATTGTGAATGTCTCTTGTGTATCACGCATGAAATTGTAAGATGTGACCTGAAACGTGAATTCTTCTGTACTATCTGGCTTGCTTACCGATTGCAAGATGAGGCATCGTGTCTCCAAGACAAGAAAAGCTTGTTTTGCAAAGGCCGTTGTGTTGTCTTCTGAATTCGATGTCTGATGCATTTATACAGTTTTATTTTTTTTTGCAGGGAAAAAAATAAAACTGTATAAATGCATCATCCGCAAGGTCAAGAACAACGTAAGCTCCACTCCCCCTTTCCCCTCGTATACCGCAGGATTTGCTGTAAGGCGTCACTCTAGATTGCGTTTGGTATTGGGTCACTGACAGCTAGTACAGCCGCGATTCGATTTTCCTGAAGTCATATTCATGGGGACAGCGGATTTAGCATATAGATCATCCTGGATTATCTCAAGTTCAGGCGAACTGCAATGTGTGCCTTATTGTGTTAAGTTTTAGACATTGGGTGTGAATGCATGCTCTGAGCAGGTTTGTTCTCATGAATTACCAGGACTACATGATTCAAGTTTTATCAGGAATGTAACCAATCGTATGTAGCTGTAGAAAACACATTTAGAACTTGATAATATATTCGGAGGAAATTTGGAACGTAAGAAAATTTTGTAGCTTTTGTTTGTGTGCTTTACCTCCAACCCAGACACAATTGCTCATTTTGAGCATAAAATCCTTCAAGATGTGCAGGCATAGCGTTAGGCTTGGGATGTGTCAGGTAGTATTGTCAATGAGCCCCACAGTACAGTATAGTAAAGCTAGAGAGACATATTTCATGATATTGCTGATGCTTTACACATAAGACCTATTGCTCACGCCATTTGGAGTTCTCATTTTGATCTACCTGCTGTGGAAGCATTTACTTGAGGAGGTGCAAGATAATCCTAGCTAGTCAAGCTTACTTCAAGCTCAAATCAAGCTCGACCATGCTTACAAGGTTTGTGCCTTAGCTTGATAAGGCTTCCTAAGACCATATAGTTGACTGAGCTAAGTTCAGCTCCATAAGGACTAATTGTAGTTTATGTCAGCATAATCGTGTATATTATAGGCTACAAAATATTGTTCGAGTTTCAGAATTCAAGTTTACTCAATGAAAGCTCCATCATATATTTTCATTTTGTGGTGAATTTCTTTGAAAACTAAACCATTACTTTGTTTTCAAATTATTATCATAAAGGGCTTCGCCAAAGGGTTTATTCATTCTCTGAGCAAAGAATAAAGATCGGATAGACTCGATGTCGCCGTGCCACAGTCGTTGTTCGTGTTCTCATACTCATCCCCGTCTCTGTCCAGGTCACTCTCCATCTTCTCTAGGCATTCCGTGCCATCCCACCCCCCCTCCCCCCCCCCCCTTCCTCAATAGCAGCTGTCGGGATATGCCATATGGTGGGCGGTGGGATTTTAATAGCATGAAAATTTGTTTCACCAGCAGTGCTCTTTACCTACCTCGAGTAAAAACCCGATTTTCGCTAGCGGACACTTAAGAGATCCGCCTAAAAAATAGAGTTGTTTTTTATGGCGGATCTTCTAAACATCCGTAAGTGAAAATCGGTTTTCTCTAGTGGCTCGTGACCCAGAATCCTCCAATATATTTTTATAAGCGTTTGTTTCATTAGTTTGCCAGAAAAATAAAAGGGTCACGCCATGAAAAATCTTTTTCAGTAGTGTGATAGTTGGAGAGTATCGCCACTGTTTGTCTATCGATTCCAAAACGGTCTGATTATAGTCTCTTTACATACTCGTATTCCAAAACTGTTAAGTGGGCAAACCATTCCATTTTTCAGTTTTAGTCTCTTCACATACTCGTATTTCTTAAGCCGACAAAAGGAAATATTATTTTGACGGTTCCGCAACAGGAAAAACTGCGTTAAAAACCGAACATGGTGTACATATTTATCTATGAGCGACCGACAAGAGATGAACCTTATTTCTGTTGCTATATCATCGGAATAATTTGATATTTCTGTGCTTATTTTTGTGTGTCTCATTTCCGACATCCACCAGCATTAATTTTTTTTCTTATTGTTTTCTTACCATTTAATTTCTGATATTTTTTTCCAGTCAAAAACGATCTTCTGTGATCAGATATAACAAAGAACATTATATAGGTTCATTTGTTTGTTTAACAAGACAGATAGGTACACAGAAATAATAATTTATAAATATACTTAACCAGTACACTGGTGGAGAAACCCTTTGTAGTCCCGGTTCATAACCCCCCTTTAGTCCCGGTTTCCAAACCGGGAGTACCAATCCGGGACTAAAGGTGAAATAACCGGGAGTAAAGATCGATCTTTAGTCCCGGTTGGTATGGCTCAGCCACGTGGCCGGCTGAGCCATCTTTAGTCCCGGTTGGTAACACCAACCGGGACTAAAGATCGAGCTGACCTTTTTTTTTTTTGCATGCCCCTGTTGCTGCATGGTTTATATATATATATATATATATATATATATATATATATATATATATATATATATATATATATATATATATATATATATATATATATATATATATAAACCATGCATATATATGTTTCAATACATATATATGCATACATATATATATATATGTATATATATATATATATTATATTATATTATATTATATGTATATACATGCATAATATATATGTATTTATACATATATATGTTATGCAAATGCATATGTATATAGATATATATATATGAACAAAATATATTTACATTATAGAAAATGTGTACACATGCATATAGAAACATATGTAGTCATGTATTAATTACAATCCATTATATGTCCTAGCTAGCTACGATTTCGACGTAGTAGTACTCGCTGCTAGCTTAGAAGCTAAGGACCGGTGAATTGTGTTTCCGTCGTAGTAGAATTCATCCTTGGGATCAAGGATTTCTTCGTTGATGAATCCCATGAGTTGGTCTTGAACCGCCGCGATAAATTCCTTGTGTGTGGTCAGGTTATCCCTCATGCGAATAAACTATATGAATATATGAAA